ACATCTGTTAAGCATTGCAGGGGTACTCATTGGTTGGGCACTGCAAGGATACTTGGTGGTTGGGCACTGCAGGGATACTTGGTGGTTGGGCACTGCAAGGATACGTGGTGGTTGGGCACTGCAGGGATACTTTGCGGTTGGGCACATCCGTTAAGCATTGCAGGGATACTCATTGGTTGGGCACTGCGGGGATACTTGGTGGTTGGGCACTGCAGGGATACTTCCAAGGTTGGTCACTAAAGTCTGCTTCCAGTCGGGCGAGGACAACATCTACTTTAAAATGTAACAACCCCACTGCGAGGGTGGGGAATTATGTAATCTCAGTGTCCATTGACATTTTATGTTATTTACCATTTGATTCTCCAGTATTGGGGTAACACATCCCTAGATACCACTTAATTTTGAGAAATCCCCCATCTTAGCTTCAGGCCGAATTTGATAGTGCCCGCGGGCCGGTCGATGCGCGCGTACACAAACCTTGGTGGCACACCGCTAAATAGAGAAACCTTCTCGCGTCCCCCAGGCGAGGAAATCGCAGGACAAGGATATAGTCCCGCTTAAGTAGATAGAACATGGGGTATATGGGGATCTTATTTTTACATACCCAAAGCCATATTCTATCTACTCAAGGGGGGCTTCAAGGCTCCAGGGTCCTCTTTTTTGAGGGAGTCCTACCTTCTTTCGGGGTCATTTGCTTGCTAGTTGTTAGTAGGGAATGGAGGAATGGATGATGTAGACCCTAGCTAATCCCCAATCAATGTGGTAGTATCCATCTTCTTTTGCATTCCCTCATCCTGTACCTTAAACCCCCCAAAAGCAGCTTCCATTTTCTCTTGCAATCCTTCATTCCCTGCCAGCGAGCAGCGAGTTAACTCCAAACCCCAGAACCCCTACAAACCCCAGTTACCACGTGAGGTTCCCTTTGCTTTTCCTTCTGATTCTCCATTACCTGGTTATAACTGGGTCTTCCCGACCTTCCCCACACCCTAGACCGTAAATCCTCAACCTTACCCTAAGGGTCCAAGTACCTAATTATCATATACTTACCCAAAACCTGTACTATAATTACTATTACCCAAAACCCAAGTACCTAATTATTGGGTACTTGGACCCTCTGGGTTAGCTAGTTTTCGTAGCCAACGCCACGCACGTGCGCCAAGCGGCTTCGAGCAAACGAGCTCGGACAGCTCCTCTTCTGTCTCCTTATCTCCAAGGCCTTGGCATACAGGGATGTACAGGGGTATTTAGGGCTAAAGAGTCTGTTCTCCATGTTTGGATGTGTGTATTTCGCTTGGATTTGGTTTTCTTTGGTATAAGGCCTCTGGTTCCTCAGTGGGCGTTAGGATATGAAAACTTAAGAGATTGTGTCCAACAATGACCCAGGTTTAGGGCTCAGTTTTTGATTCCGTGTTGTTTGAAGCCAGTTCCAGCAGTTTGGGGTCTAGCCTTGCAACCCCATGAAGAAGCATCTGTTTTTTTGAGGCAAAAAGGGGTACCCCAGCACTTGTATTTTGAGACATGATTATTCCTCTTGCAAGGGGGTGCGCCCGTTTCAAAGGCGGTACATGCACAACCACGAAGGAACTGTCAAGTGTCTTACTCAGAGGGATGGATGTTGTTCAACAAATCCTTGAAAAACATCCTCGCATCCCTTGCCAGTTGTCTTTGGCTTTGGATGTTCCATTCAGAAACTGGGGCTGTAGGACTGCGGGCGAAGGGAAGTGCTGGGAACCGGAACAGGCTGTAGAAAAAGGAGCATCAGATTTTCCTTCGGGTGCGTGTTGTCGTTCGGGGTAGCCCTTCCTGTTCAATTCGCATGAATACGGCTCACTTACAGGTTCTTAATACTTCGAATGGGATTTTTGGTTATCAAAAATGAGGATTGTGGGATGGAGGTTTTTGGGGGCAATGGCCGAAAGCTGAGATGGAATGCGAAACCATAAATCTTCAGGGGGTGCCTTGAGACGAAAAGACACATCATGTACCCTCCCCTAAGCCGCAAGACATGGAACCTCATGTAGAAATTGTTCAGTTTCCTGCTCCCGAAACCCTTGGCTAGAATCCTACAAGGAACCTAGGACCATAATATTGGTACCTAGGTCCCTAATTCCAACCTCAGCCCCAGGAAAACTCAGAAGCACACCGACCAGCTCGCAAAGTCGCTTTGTGTGGATCTGCTCGTAATACTCTGAGACAACCTGCCGGATGATGATTGCTACTTCCCAGGACCCTCCTTCTGCCCTTTAAATATGGGTATATGGTCCCTATTTAGGGTATATAGAGGGTGGAAGGAGGGTCTGGGTCCGCTGTTACTACAATGATTACTTTTAGTAGTAACGATGATTACTTGTGCTGCAATTATTGCTCATACTTTAATTGCTAAAGCCATCGAATGCACTGGGACAACCTGCATGGCGGCTGACTCTCAGCCCCACCTCAGAAGTAGCTAAAATCATGGCCCAAAATGCGTTTAACAAAAACAATGTTCAAACATTATATACATACTTACGGGTTTCAAGTAGGTAGGATTTGGGGGTATACCAATATGATTCCAGTAGAGGCTGCGCTGACCAGTACTGTTATTCCTATGTTTCTTGCGTTTGTATTGATTCATGCAAGAGCCGCGGTAATCCCTGCTGTGCTTCGAAGTACTGCTCTTATGACAACTCTCTATTCCCTGAAACTATTGCTAGTGCAAACACAGTTTGAAACTAGCAGCTTCAAGACTTTTGGGGTTCAAGGTTTGGGGCGAAAGCTACTTCTGGGCAGCAATGTGGCTGGCTTTCAAACATCGCGTACCCTGTGGCGTCGTACCGCCCTTACATTTTGGGGCCTGAGACTACATTGTTCACACCACCAGTCCTGTGGGTTTCAAGCAGCCGGTCTATAAACACAAGACCTCCCCCCCAAGAAGGCTGAGAAGCAGAAAGGTCAAGGATTTCTGCTGATGATTGTTGTCAATTGTTGTCATCACTGGAGTTCTATCATCCAGGAAGCGCAGCTGGGATCTCAAAATGGGGGGGCTCCCGTACACACCTCTAACTTGTCGGATCCCCTGCCAAAACAGTACGCAGACTTCTGAGAAACATCTGCTATCGAATCAATGCTGCTGCGCCACCCGCCTGCAGCGGAAACTAATGTAATTTGTCTCAAGTAGGTTTTTCAATAAGTAGCCGGCCCAATGAACATCAACAAGTATTCCTCATTCTTGGGACCCCCGAAATGGCGCCCCTTGTTTTCGGAAACCCCCTATGTCCCCGTAGACCTTGACTAGAACAACTTCCCCGCCTTGATGTTGTGCTGCACTACTCGCTTCTTGAGCAGCTCCCATCTTTCCTTGGCACCCTCGTGAGGCGAGTCCTGCAGCGCTTCCTACTGCGCAACATGAACCCTGTGGCTTTGTAGGGCCCCTAATATATGGAGATTCTAGGGGTACTCTGTGACTGTTTGGAGAATCGACCACTAAACCCTATGAGGTGCTAAAGCCTTAACCCTAAACCCGCAAACCCTAAAGCCTTAACCCGCGAACCGTCCTGGAAGACAGCATGAGTCTTCAGCTCATCCTCCTTGGCGAGGGGCCAGTTCACAATCTCCTGCTGCCGGTCAGATGGGTGCTGCTTTCTGATTGCGGATCTCCAGAAAACGTGCTAGCCACAGGGTCTATTCGGGAACCCAAATGTCAGGGTTGAGGTACACAAATCAATTCAGCTTGCAGCTTTTGGGACCAGCAAACCCCACATTTGAGCTCTTGGACCCTTGGGGTATAGCACTGCTATATAAAACGCTTCTCAGCAGTGTACGGCTTGGGGTTCAGGATTCTAGGATTCAGGCCGCTGGGCTTCCAGCTCAATGATCGGGATTGTTTGGAAGAATCCTCGACCCCATACCCTACCCATTTTTCGGGGTCCCGATAATTGTGAATATCGAAGATACCAGACATAAACTCAGGTAACCAACAAAAGAGAAGGGTACAGGGGTCTAGGCAACCAGGCGTTCCACCTTTGATGGGTGGGAGGATGAGGATAAGAAATCATGATAAGACTTGCTGGGGAGGACCCTATGAGTACTCAAAACTGTAATCTCACTTTAACAGTGCCTTGGGGTTGTATTACAATAGGAATTACAGCATGATGCCTAAGGAGATAGGAGAAAATCCTACCCAGAAGAGGGTGGCGGGTTTTGGATTGGCAGGTAGGATGTGCAAGTCAAGTCTGTACTCCCCCTATATAAATGAAACAAAAATGTGTCTTAAATAGTTCCTTAGGGTTATACTATACTAAAATGGAGATCCTGAACCCTGAGGTGACTACAGAAGCAGAAGCAACAGGCCCTCATTAGCTTCGAGCGCCGTCTGGGCATGTCTGGACTTGGAGGATAAACTTACCGACTCCGGGACCTAGAGTCTTGCTAGCAAGGGGTCACGGTTCAGGTTTAGGGTTCCAGGGTTTGGGCAGAAACCCAGCTGTGAGGCATACTAAACTCCCACAAAAAAATCGCCTCATGTCGCGAGCTAGATGAACTGGCAAATGCAACTCCCTAGGGCTTGGAGTTTAGGGTTTAAGGCTTTGAGGCATGTTATTGCGAGACATGACCCGTCTACAGATGTTGATGCCTGCCTGACCTCAGCTCAGGTCCAAACAAGACAATGGAAACCACTACATTCCATGCTGAAACCACGTCATCAGACGTCATAAGCAGTGTAGGGTTCAGGGGTTAGGGTTTGGATTGAGCTGCGAAGCGCCTTCTTCATGAAGATTCTGATAAGGTTCCTGTACGTGGGGACCTGGCAGGAAAGACATCTGGGGCGCAAGGCGGAGATAGGCCGGCCAGATATGGTGGTGTCTGGGTTTAAGCTTGAAGGTTTAGGGCTGGATGCAAACTCCTCTTTCCTAAATTCTGGAAATTATGTTCCCCTACATTTTTCCTTGATAGACCTACGGGAACCCGTACAAAAATCACCGGAGGATCGTCAGATCCACCCCCCAATCTGCTTCCAAAACCCTCACCCCTATAAACCACGATACAATCCCAATATCCATGGCCTTCTCCGTTGGATTTTCCGTTATTTTGGGGTAATATCCTAAACCCTCAACCCTAGCCTATCTCCCTAAACCCTAAACCCTGAACCCAAAACCCTAAACCCTAAACCCTAAATCCTAAACCCTAAACGCTGAACCCTAAACCCTAAAACCCTGATGTCTTCACATGGCTGTACCATGCTGCTCCCATCCCAGGCCCTTTCGATTTAATAGAAGCTATAACTTCAGTACTGCCCCCCCTCAGTAACAGTTGGATAATAATTATAATATAGTTATATATAGCCCTTAACAGGACCCCTAGTATAGACTGTTACTGAGGGGGGGCAGTCCCAAGCTATAACGGTGCGGCGCAAGGGTTCATTCTAGGCGGTATACACCCTGCTGGTCAAAGGCGCAATTAAACCCCAAACCCTGATACCTGAACCGTTGAGAACACAATCTTCAATACCGTGGAAAGGAGGGATGCAAAAATGCTGGCAGCTGTGGACATAGGGTTTAGGCTAAATCCTAAACCCTAAAACCCCTAAGCCCTAAGGTTTTCGGGCCGTTTTAGGTGTAAGCTGTAGCTCGATTGCAGGCAAAGCAATGGGCTACTGATTTTCATAATATGCTTTTTTACGGTTCCGTCCGTGCACCTCTTGCAGTAAGTTCCCACAGGGTCCATGTAGCCGAATAGTATAGGGTTTAGGGTTTAGGGTTTAGGGTAGTATTTACTTAGACACTAAGGTAGCTGTATGGGACCCCCTTTTGGCCTCATTATATGCCACATAGCTCATGGACCCTTTGAGGTTTTGGGCATACTGCGAACGCCGGGGTGGCGACGTGGGTCCACAGGCGAAGTTTAAGTTTGACGTTGGGAACACCCAAGTAAAGTGTGGAAGAGAATTAGCAAGCTATAGGAATATATGAGCCCTGGACTAGAGTTCTAGTATATTCCTGAATAGGTTCCCCTCTAAATCCTACATATTCCCCGAGGTCCCCTCCCACCTAAGTTGAGTCCGTAGCTCATATAATCCCAATATATGACCCCAATATATGGGGATTTCACAAAATTAGGGCTACCATTTTGAAGGTCCCTACAATAAGGATTATAGTATTTTGGGGTCTATATTGGGGCACCCCTATGTAGGGAAACTACCATGTACCCGTAGGATTATCTCGCAAGACTCCCACAGGATGTGAGAAACAGGCCTTGTCACTGTTGCCCCTGCTAAGACTATGACCTGTAACTTATGGACAGTTCTCAAAAATGCTAAACCCTAAACCCTAAACCCCCTTTGGGAGGTGCCACTCCCAAAAACAAATCATCAAACACCTCAACCCTAAACCCTCGAGTATCCTTGTGGGGGTTGACCCGGTCTGCAATTCTAGTACAAGGCAGTTGTAGAGTTATATGGGGTTTACCGAAATAGGCAAACCGGAAGGGGACTACAAGGCCCCCCTTTCCCAATACAAAGAGATTGTTCAAATAAAGCTCTGGTACTGAAACCACTGGAAACCCTAGGGTTTATAATCCCCTTAAGTCGATAGAATATAGCTTTGGGTATATTACAATAAGATCCCCTGTATACCCATACCCCATATTCTATTTACTTTACTTAAAGGGGACTATAGGGTTTAGGATAGTGGAGCTTAACCTCGACCACTGGGGAATCAGAGAAATGGGGTGATATAGGGGGTTATATAGGGTTTATATTGGGGTCATATGGGGATAATGGAAAATAGAATGGAAGCTACTATATCTGGGGGTTATATAGGGGATTATCTTTCTTCAGGACCTCTACTTCGTCGTGCGGAGTTTGGAGCCAGGATTACACTCCAGTAGATCCTACTGCAAGATCTTTTCCTATGACAAACGCTCCAGCCCAAAAATCCTGAAGCCTGAGCCCTAAAGTCCTAAACCGCTAAATCCTAAACCCAGTTCAAGCCTTGTCTAGCTTCTTCGCCTCAAGGCTATCCAACCTGGCCACAAGGAGTTGAAATCATGGGGTACCATGCCCCCCACATCCCAGCACAGGGTTTAAGGTTTAGGGTTTAGGGTAAAAATATAAATACACTTAGAGGGGCTAAATGAGGTTTGTATACGGATACAGTGGATAGCAAAAATCCGGTCATGCAGGACTGTTAGCATAGCATCCACCTTACTACCCCAATAAAGCAGGTTCAAGTGGAAACGAACATCTAAATGAAATGGACACTGGGGATGATATAAGGGGTTATTAGGATTTTGGTTTCAAAAAGTTAGGGGTGCCTTTTGTCGCGTCCCACCTTCATAGAGGGTAGGTGGAGGGTCCAGCTGCTTGGTGGAAGATGATTGCAGTGTCCGCGCATGTCACAGGCCAGAGTGAATGCCAGCCCCTGTGCGTGAAACCGACATCTACCAATTTGACTCAAAACTGCAAAGCGGAAACCTCTCATCCATGTATGAAGACCTATAGTAGCAATTACCTAAATTCCTCTGTGGTTTCAGAAGATGGCCCTAGACCCTACGTGAAGCACCAAATCCAAAAGGCACTAAACCCAGAAATGGATACCCGAATACCAAAACCCTACAACCCAAGACTTGAAACACTGAACCCTACGCCCTAAGAAGCAAAGTACAGTACAGTCATGGACGAGCACGGGGCGCTTTTGGAGCATGTCGTCATGCTCGTTGTCGTAGGGCGACAACACCTGTGCAGTTTGGGGCATAGCCCTATACGCTATACCCTATACTGTGTTTGGCATTGATGGGTGTATGATGGCAACCCGAAGTAAGTTGCCAGTCTCCATCGCTTAACACAAGAACTTACGAACATCTGCTTCTGCATCCTGACAGTTCGAGCTGGCCCAGAGGTTTTAGGGGTTTAGGGGTACAGGTTTCAAGGGGGATAGGGGTTTTGCGTTTGGGAGTATAGGGGTTAAGGTTTATAGGGCTCGCTGTCTAGGGTATAGAGTTTCTTCAAAATAGAGCTTCCCGTTAAACCCCAGCTGCACCTCCCCGCCCAACAAAAACACGCACCCACACTTGTTGAGACACTCCCGCCCCCGAGTCAGCGCCCGATCCTTTGTATGGTTTGCGTCCTGCCCCACCACTAACAGTCTATATTAGAGGTCATATTAAAGGCTCTATATAACTATAAATAGATACGATCCTCCAGCTGTTTATGAGTGGAGGCAGCACCCTATGTATGGTTGCCTCCATTGCGGTGATGTTGGCGGTTCCTCAAGGCGGGATGCCCGAAGGAACCCAGGAAAACTGAAGGATGAGGAGGTAAGAAAGGTCCCTACTACTTCTACTGCTACTACTACTCCTACTCTCCTACTACTACTCCTACTACTACTACTTCTTCTACTTCCTTTTCTTCTTTCACTTAGGCTTACTAAGGACCTTCTAGGGAGCACTTTGAGAAGCTCCATTGTTCAGACAAGTCGCGGTGAAGAGTACGTCTTTCGAATTTTACCCCTAAACCCTTGTGAGCCCTAAACCTTGGCTACTGCCCCAACCGTGTCACAGGGTACAATGGTGGGTAAACGTCAGGGCTGTATAAACTCATGATATAATAGTATTCTCCAACTGTTACTGGGTGGGGGCAGTACCTACCCTAAATCCTAAACCCTTTACGTCCGTAGTTGAGGCGACGGGGTGGCAAAAGGTTCGAGGCCACCATGGGGTTGCCTGAACCTCCCAAGTTACCGTATTGAAAGCCCTTAACCCCAAAATATTTAGCTATTTTTAGCTATACATATAGGCTGTTGAGGTTATTTGAGAGGTCCACTTGTTTAAAACAAATTCCAGATGTCCAACCAAAATACAGATGGGGGTTTCTCAACTTCGGGCGCCCTAGAGATGTTTGGAAATCACGTTAGGAGGGGATTTTTATCAAGGGCTACAGGAGCGATTAAAAAAACGCAAGTGCTTGGGAAGCGGCAAGAGGTCTCTACCGTCAAGCCCAACGGTGAATCACAACATCAGAAAGCCTAAAGCACTCATCAATCCCTGAACCGTGAAAACTAAGCACCCTAGCAACCCAAAAGCCATAATCCTGTGCCCCAAACCGACTTTCGGCCAGCCAACAGAGTCCGACGTAGGAAGGCTTCAGGAAGCCATAAGGGGGAGTATGTATAAGGAGGTCCTCAAAAACGTAAAATCTGTACATAGCTGTCGCATTCACGTGGGACGCAGGCCATGCAAGGAAACAAGCATCCCGACTCGAGTAGCTAGGCAATGCCTGGCCTGTGACGGCACTCACGAATCAGTGACGTCTTCATCGTCCCATGTGTTCATGCGATTTCTGGTAGCCTTGATGAGCTCGAACGCCAGCTTTTTCTTCTCAAACTGCTCGCTCGTCAAGCTGCTGCCCTTATCTGGATGAAAGGCTGCCAAAGCTCGTTTGATGACAAGGCGATGCGCATTCTCGCTGACCTCTAGCTCTTTGCATGCCCTCCTGTAACCTTCCATGGGGTCAGTTGCAAAGAGCCATGCCACCCACTCCATGAACTTCTCGGCCACCCAGCTCCCAGCCATGTTTCCCAGCACGGTACACGCGAATTGACCCAATGGACCAAGCGATCTGCCAGCATAATGGGCCAACGTTGCCACACCGTGGTTGATGACGATGCCACCTGCTGTCCCCGCTGTGGCTTTTCCCAAACGCTTGACAGCTTCTTGGCCATCCACTTTTTCATAGGCATAGTCCCAGGCGATTTTAGCAGCTTGGGAAGTAAAACTCATAGCTGCCATGGCCCGTCCTGTTGAGCTTGCTGGGGCATCATCTCCGAACCGCGGGGTGCCAAGCATGGCGAACCGAAGGCAGGCACTGACGGCTACAGTGTCCCCAATAGATATCAGACAAATATGTTGGAAAAAATACATAGCGATGTATAGGGATATGTGGGAGGTTGGAAAGGAAAATGGAAGCTGGTAAGTGATGGCAGCCAGAACCTGCTGGTACTTGCACTTGCCTAAAGTCATCCGGAAGTGAAGGGACGGGGGTATGACCATCGGTGATGATAGGTAGAGTGTTGGGAAAACTTAGGTGCCCTTAGCATGGCCTTTGTTCAGCTAGGAATGAAGGCATGGATCCTTATAGTAGTCCCTATATAACGCATTATAGTAGTTTCCTTGTTCTTTTCCAATCCTCCTAAACCCAGGTTACCAAAGTCAGTAGTTTAAGCATCCAACAGTTGGAATGGGGACTGGTAGCGGTGGCTGAGGCCCCGGCTAAGAAGATGCAGTAGGCCTGCGAGGTGCAGACAAAAGGCATGCGGTTTAGGGTGTAGGGTTTAGGGGTTTAGGGGTTTAGCGGTTTAGGGGTTTAGGGTTTTAGGAGTTCAGGGTTTAGGGTTTAGGGGTTTAGGGTTTGTAGGATGCGTGGTGGTTCAGAAGGGTGTCCACAAATTAGGTATCCACTGTCAAAGCCGCCTTCATAAGCATTAATCATACGAATTTGAAACAAAAAGCGGCGGCCCTCTTTTCTGAGAAAAAATCACCCAAATATAACGCGAAACTTAATTAGGGGCATTGGTATTGATTAGAATAAGGCGTTGGAGTGCATTGCAGCTGCACGAGGATTCCGAGGAAACCCTCGTGTAATACTTCAGGCTTTCTACATGACATGATCCCTATCCTAACCTAAACCCAGAAAATGGCCTGCATCCTATACCCAAATCCGAAACTTCCTATACCTAAAGCCTAAAACCTAACCCTAGAGACCCGACACCCGACAACCTAGACCCAATGCCTCAGACTGAATAAACAAAAGCGTTTAGGGTTCAGGGTTCAGGAGTTTAGGGCTTTAGGGCTCAGGAATTTAGGGCTTTAGGGTTCAGGGATTTGGGGATTTAGGGCTCAGGGTTTGGGTTTACGGATTTAGGGTTCATGGATTTAGGATTTAGGGTTCGGGTACTATCCTACAGTCCCTGTATACTACAAATGATAGATACCACTCACGTTTCATCGCGTGCCCCCCTTGCCCATAAACTCCGACTCCCCACATAATCATAGTTTCTATTTTGTTTTGAGGAGTTTTACCATGTTATTCTCCATTGCTCTGATCAAATATGGGCCCTAACCCCAAACCCAGTATCCCTCTGTATCCCAGGCAGCCCCTCTCAAGGACTCCTTACCCCAGCTGAGGCCATCACCGTCAGGGCGTCCGTCCATTTGGACTCGTCGGACTTCACCGAGGGCGTGTTGAAGATGGCCAGGGTGCACCTGATGGGACGAAGTTTAATATCAAAAGGGACTTCAACGGGGATCCTCAAGCAGGGAACCACACAAATATCAAAAGGAATGCTATAGGAATGTAAGTACCAGGCCCCTGATATTCCTACTATATTGCTACTACATTCATACAGTTTGGGGTTCCCATTTTACTCTGTTTGGCTAAGGGTATACATGTATACCTTATCTTTAATGGCACTCCTTTGGTCCCTGTGCCATGTCCCAATAGATTTAGGATTCATAGTGTAGGGTTTGGGGTGCAAGGTTCCTGAATCCTGAAAGCTACACTGCCCTCAGATCTCTCCGTTTTTCGAGAATCCTGATAAGAAAGGCCGCCGGTGGGGAAGCTCTGCTAAGGTGCCAAGTCCTGAACTCCCCCAAACCCGCTATAAACTGGCATAGGCTTAGGGGCCCTGTAATCATGATTCCTTTCGGCTCTAGAAGAAACATCTTGGGGTTCTGGTCCAAAATTATTGAAACTTCTTGCTAGGAATCCTCTAGTAAGCCTCTGACCAGTCCGGTAGACTCAGTAAACCCCCAGACTTCTACGCTCCAAAAACGGCGAGGCGCTTGGCTACGTCGAGGAACTTCTTCTCATGCAGCCAGTACCTGATCCTGGGCAATGTCAGGCTTGTTTTTTGTAGAAAAAGGGTTTAGGGTTTGGGGTTTGGGGATTAGGGTTTAGAGTTGGGGTTTAGGGTTCGGGGTTGGGTTCAACCTTTAGGGCTTGCTAGGTATGTCGCGTTTGGGCTTCAAATGTTTGAGCTTAAGATCTATTCTTCCTTGCCCAGAGCCTGACGTCGGTCTGGTCTGGTACAGGCTTCTGGGTTCATCATAATATTCTTCTTGTTTCTCGGTCTTCTTCTGATCATTGTTATTCTTGATCTTATAAATTTGATTCTTCTTGTTTTTTGGTACTCTTATGTGTCGCCTGTGTCTTCCTGTTGCTTTTCTTTGCCTTCAGTTTTCTTCTCATTGTTTCTTGGTTCTTCTTTTCGTCTGCTTAGAGTGCTCGAAGGGTGGGGGGGGGCCTGAGAGCCTGGAGATGGGGAGGAACTAAAAAAGGGATTGCGGGGGATAAGGGTTTAGGGTTTATAGGGTTTATAGGGCTTATAGGGCTTATAGGGTTTGTAGGGCTTAGGGTTTAGGATTTAGGAGAGCGTACCACAAATAGCAGCTCAAATCACCGCATACCAATTAGGGGACATTTGTGGACATTCCTACTCTTCTGGGCGAGTACAGGGTGCGGAACCTTCGAAGTATATGGTGCAAGCGGTGGCATGGGTGGCCGACCAGAAAACGAATGCAGCAGGATTCCGCTGTTGCAATGATCAGCACGCCAACTCATTCAGCATCCGTACAACAGTTCATATGGGAGTTTCCATACATGGTAGGACCCCTTATAAAACCCCTATATATATGTATATACATATAGTCATATACTACAGTCCCGCGATCCTCCCATTTCCCGAAACCCAAGACATCCCTGTAAACCACTTCAAGATCTCCGTTTCCATTTCATGTTCCGTTTACATTTCAATTTGATTCTCCGACATTGAGGAAACCCTATAAGCCCTATACAACCCTGACTATCCCTGCATAGCTCTATGAGCCACAATCTAAACTCCTAGATCCCCCTGAGTAACCCCTATAATAGTCCCCTGTAGAATCCCCTATAGAACCCCCTTTAAGGAGTTCAGACTATAGCTCATATAACCGTTGAATTTTGTGGGCATGATTCTACTTGAGCTATTCCCAGCTTATTCCACACCAGCCAGACGTCAACCCTCAGTGTTTCTCCTCAATGCTTTGCAACACATAATCTTTAGGGCTTAGGGTTTGGGGCTGGTTGAAGCAAACCGCCCCGCTTCGGAACTGAACTGGGAGCCATGCATGTACTCGTAGTACCTGATTTTGAGATCCTGCACATCAAGTAGAAGGTGATCCTGGTCCCCGTTTTTGGGTCCCCTGTATGATACAGCTCCTAAGATGTAGGGGCCAAAGTATCCCCTTGTGTTCCGACAACCTCACACATGATGAAATGGAGGGCCTGTGTGCCGGGGAGGTTTGAGACAGGCCCCTCACTCACGCTGATACATGCAAGAACGAAGGCTGGGAAACGCAAGCAAGAAAGATGTAACTCGGGGTGACTTTGAGATCCAACACACTATGCAAGGATAGTTTCCCAAAATAGTGGGACCCCAACAAACATAGACCCCCAAAACGTTATAACCCTGATCCTTGGGAACCCCAAAAAACCCTCAACCCTAAACCCTAAACCCCCAAAAAGGTATCCCCTGATTTTGGGAAACCCCCAGGTAGTCAACTGGAGCTTCTCATCTTACTCGCTCATGCAAACCACATTATTTACATGTTCATTCCTAGACCTTCCTCCTACCCTCTACTAGGGCCTAAGTACCCACTATTAGGGACCATATATCCCCAATTAAGGGTACAAGGAAGGTCCTGGTTCATACTAATATTAGCGGCAGTATATTTTTATTGTATACGACTACTATCGTTTATAAGGACTGAAACTTCCTGGTAAGAAATCCCGCACGTCCTCTCACCCAACTCCCATGCAACATGTAATGATGTATCTAAGCTACGCCTGTACTGTTGTCTTGAAGGAACAAGCCATGTAACAGGACCTGGAGCACTTTCGGCATTTATCAGAGAGGACGCCTACGTGTATACAAGCAATGTATCAAGGTCCCGCTGCTGCTGCTGGATTCTTTGCAAATTGCTTCGGAAAAAGCATGCGGAAACCATGTAGTCAGTATCTTAAAGCATAAACATTCCATGTAGTAGTTTCCAAGCACTGGCGGACCACCAAATACCCCCCCCCTCCAATGATGCTCGAGTTTTATTGTAGGGACCCTGAGAATGGAACCCCCATTCTTGGAAATCCTACATAGCCCCTGCAAATAAATTCTTCATTTGCGTTCTTTGGGAAGTGCTCCTGATTTTCCACTATGGAGGTGTATGCAACTAAATCACCCTGAATAACCCTTTGCAAGAATCCCTATTGTCAAGACCCCATATCCTGGAAGTCGTCCGCGTCGAGGAGCTTGGGGTTAATCTTCCTACTGATGATCTGAGTTCGCACCTCATCGGACGGCTTTGGGCGTTTAGGGTTTAGGGTCCATGGGTTGCGAAGGCAACATTAAAATCGCAATAGTAACAGTAATAGTACTAGTAATAGCAATAGTAATGATACTAATGTTCACTTCATATTAATAAAATCTCCGTCCCGGGAGACCCCCGCAATACTAATGCCAGAAATGTACGTTTGAAAGCCTATTAGAGTTAATTGAAATCTAATTGAAATCCTTGTCCCGACAAAAATTACGCGTTTGGGGGATATTATAATTGTGGGG